AGGAGGCAAGGACACAGGACGAAATGAATTCGCTCGATTAAGCGCGTAAGAGCGGACTACCTGCCGCGATAACAGTTTCCTTTCCTCTGGCCGAGGCGAGGCCCCGTACGCACGGTCAGGATAACGATATCTTTAGAGCCGGGTTTTATCGGTAAAAGTCAGGTGTGAATTGGGGCCACTGGTGCTCGATCAAAGCGGACCCAGCCGACTGCGATTCGGTGACTCTGAGGTAAGAGTGGGGACAAAAGAAGCTTGGGGGAATAGAGAAAGAAACGTGAACCGGAAGACTGATGTCCCTCTGATATCTGCCTACCGACAAATTAGAATACAGGGTGTAACGAAAATATTACAGGTCCCTGGAATGGGACACTCGTAAGGTGATTTGGAACAGGTTTTTCCTTAACAAAAATGTTATCCGACACTTTGTTAACGAGATATTAATAAAAAAACCCCGACCAATCAGAGATTTTTGTTACACCCTGTATATTGAACTTTAAATCATTGAGCAGCATATCTTTCACGGCACTTCTACCAATAGATTCTTGCTAATATTTATAAATATATTTCACTGCTGAGAAACCTTCGAGCACTCACCGAGGATTTACTGTATATCGCCCGAAATTAACGTAAATTCTACCAACATGTTGTCATTTTCCGCGCCACAATCCAGGGTCTTCGCCATCGGTGAGAAACACCGATTTCGCGTCCGATTTTAATCGCGTCGTGATGCAATCGGTCGAACCTTAATGAGCTAACGAGAACCGTCGTATTCGCGCCGTATTTGGCCGGGACTGCGGGTAACACCATAACATTAACCTGGTCAGAGATGGGAGAATTGATGACAGAGTTTAGTATAATTTTCATTCGAATAATATGTAATAAAGAGAAGCATCAACTAAGATCGGCACCCTAACCTTTAACCCTTTAACACATTCGAGACGGACCGTATTCGTTTTTCTAATCTTTGTTCGTTACTGTTTTATCTAAATAACGAATTTGCCCATTTCTGTTTGGATAATCCACATGGAAGGGTCTTCTTCTTCTTATTACATGGGTCGTTAACCGAACGATGCGATAATCACCCTACTTGCGCAACGCGTCGCGGTTACAGGAGCGTATTAACAGAGAAAAATTATTATATCTTAACATTAGAACTACCGACGATAAAAACATATTTGCTTCGATCGCTGGATAAACGTGAAAACTTTTGAAAATTTAGAAATTTGGATACTGACTAATTTCTTCACTCTCATATCGTAATAAAAGGTAACAAAAGATCTGAGAAAATGTATTGTCGTAACATTTTAATCGTCGTTGTAAGAGTGAATTGACCAGTCATTTTTACTGGTTTAGTAGTTCTAGTGTTAAAGGGTCTGCCGCGTGCTAGCTACGATCCTGGCGCGCAGTTGGTCCTTATATTCTGATAGAGAGAGAGAGGCGAGAGAGGACGCTGGGGTCCCCACACGGTATAACAAAGATCCATCGGGACCGGTTTCGTGTTCTGCCCTTTTTTACATTCCCCGAAGAGGCCCCGCCGTGCCGCGGGTGTGAAAACCGACACCCACCCACTTGTTATTTTGTCAAACACGAGCCTTGAAAATTATAGGAATCACGAACGGTATCGCTGGGACTTTCTGCTGGAAACTACCCACTGCTCGATCCAAATTGCTCTCGATTGCACCGTTCTCGATGCATTTTATAACCGTCAATTAAACCGCGACACGGGGATTAATCCGTGGCCTCGGCTACCGATACGCTGCGTTTCCTTGCCGTTTTGTCGGTGTCGCGCCCCCATCCCCCTACTCATCTCATCTTTCTTTTGTTCTTCTTCGGACTTTTGCGAACTCCATGTGTGTCCACAACGACGGATATTCGTGTTTTCCTGCCATTTGTTGATATCGAGGGAGGATAACTAGGGATGAACCGATCCAAATAAATAATCGATACTTTTGTTTCGATACCGAGTATTTCGGGTATCGAGTAAACAGTACAGTGATTCCCTCGATGAATGCGACACGAGTAACGGCGTTATTTCCATTATTGGGGGAGTCCCCCTGTAGAACCAATGAAAACAGAATAAGCAGAAGCTAATCAGAGGCATTATTGTTAATAAATGTTCATCACCGTTAAAGTCAGAGATGGGCAAATTGATTATCTAGATAAAGAATTTCGAATAATGAATAAAAGATAAAAAAAATACTTCGTAATAAATTTTCGTAATGTTTCGAATGTAAGTTTAGGTGGTCACCTCTTTCCATGTCCACGGCATTAATAGCGTATTTTTCATCGACCCAATTCGGATCGTGAACGATTTATTTCCGTTCGATCGTCGGAACTATAATCACATTGCGTAATAAAATGCGTTTTACTATCACAAAGGGAGTGTATCGATGCTTTATCCTCTGACACTTTTGTAAACACACCACGAATTCAAATAATGAAAACCAACCGGAAATGGGTTGGAAACAGTACGAATCGGGCCTGAATCGTTCCAAATCGCACAGCTCCGTTGCATGTTACACCTAGCAATTAAACGCGACACGGGGGAGCTACCTTTTGCTACCGACCGATTCGCCTCTGTAAAACACGACCCCCGGAGCAAATTGGATCGTCTTATAATCTCGCGCTGGTACTACGATCCAAAGAAAGAGAGAGAAAGAAAGACCCTCGCGAAATTGTATCCGTTTTGTAATTAGAATCGATCGCGCTTCGCCTTATCTTCGATGCTTCTCCCTCGATGTAAACCTGTTTTCCCGCCGGGCAGCATCGGGATTTTGCCCGTTTGTTTCGCGTCCAAAGATATCCGCACTGGAAATTAATCAATACCTCTGCTGCAACGCGAGTTTAATTCGTTTTCAATGAGCCACATTAATCTATGTAATGGCATCTATTCGTATAACTTTATTAGTTGACTGCGGATTATATGAATTTATAGTATACATAGGCGCAGCCAGGTTATCAGTCGGGGTGGAAGCAATTTATATTTTTTTCTCCAGGCGGGGCAAAATGTAATTTTTTTCTTCTAGGATAGGGCAACAGCCACTTTTTTCGTCAAGGGGAGAGGGTAAGTGCCCCCCCTGACTACGCCCATGAGTATGTACGACTACGTGAGTTTTTTTTTTATTTTTTCAAGCGTTTTCCATGTCCCTTCGGCAATTTCACCCATGAAACGAAACGATTCTCGTGGCAATCGCGACGAAACGAGGCAGATCTGCACTTCGATCTAGCGTGAAGATTCCATCCTGTCGACTGACCGCACACCGGTTATTTCTGACACGGATGGTCGACCGTGAGCAAGAAACGATCCCCTCGGAAATTCGAAATCGTTCGGTTTCTATCAGCATTCGTGGCCAGTTGGGGGCTGTTCGTGGGGCCGTTTTTTGCTTGTTCGTCATTATTGGCCCTTGTTCCCCGGTTTTTTCATTCCTATTACACTGCGGATGCGCCCATCGACGTGTTTTTGCTATCGAAGCAATACACACGGACGAACTACCTATGTACAGTAAGTCCTCGATGAGTGTTCGATGGCTTCCACGTCACTGACAAGGATGTCACTTTTTAATGAGGTTCAGCTTAGAATTTCGGAGCCAATAATATTTCTTTCAGTCGCATGCTGCCATTAGTTTATGAAATATTTCATGTTCACTGGCCAAGGAACCTTCGAACACTCGTCGAGGATTTACTGTATACGTAACACCGACTCGAAAATAAACACCGACGGCGTTAACTCGTTAAGTACTGCGGATGTTGTTAGACGAATCGCCGAATTGTATGATTGTACAGCACTGATCAAACGGATTCAACGCCGACAAAGTTAACGAACACTTTCCGGTGTGTTTCCGTTCGCAGAAGAACCGCGATCGATGCCCCCCTTGAGTAATCTATGTCGTCGGTTGTGATAACGTCCTAGAAAGGTGAGAACGAAACGAATAAGTCTCCCGTTGCTCGATTGCAATATGCTACAGATGATAAACGACACGCGTAATTGCGATTCAGTAGACTGGGAATCGAGAAGAGAAAGACCGAGTCTCGATACGTAGAAATGGAAAATAAATATTTAAGTTGCGGCGGCGATCGTGCAAATGACCGATAGCCGTTAATCGTCGATAGAATATCTCCCGAAAGGATCATCTGGAGGCTGAAAATAGTCTCTGTTCGAGCGTGTATGAATGAATCGAACGTAGACCGAAGCACGGAATGAATAGAGAGCTCGAACGCGTCAGTCTCCCACTTCGTGTCCCGATAAAATAAAAAATTTTTATTGGTATCTATTAATAGCCATTCGAAGCAATTTTGCGAACCGAATGTATTTACAGGCCGACCGTAGCATTCTCAGGTGACAAGCCGGCCGCGGCTCTCACCTGGCTCGTTTCTGCGCCACCATAGAAACGACACTGTCGCCGCTACATATATGTATACTCGACGTTCGGCAAATAAGGCATTTGTTAAGTGCACCGAGGCTGGCAAGTCACGGCTGCCCTGGGACGGGTTTTGCGCACTCCTTGACCAAAAGCGGAATACAATGCTCGCCGCTTATTCCTATATAGCGTGCTGAGATCGCGTAGCCCCAGGGTTTTTCTAACTATATTGGGAAAGTGAACGCCGTGCGACGATCCCGTAACCCTTATTTGTCGTGGTGTGGTTCGATCTTAAAAATTTGTTGTCCTCTGAATACTTGATAGTAAACAGAAGAAGTAGAAGTAGACAGACTGAGATTGAATCGGAGGGTTTTAGGGTATATAAGGGAACTGTGGTGTGTTGACAGGTCTGAATGGTGACAGTTGAAGTCCTATAGATATAGAAGAATGAAACATTGATGGACGATATCATGAACACGATAGGAATGGTTAATGGAGAAAAATGATAATACGATATTCTGACCCCTTCTTAAATGAGTCTGTACACAGTATTAAGAGTACAAGCTTCTCGAAAGATGAATGACATATAAGCGAGAAGGACAATGTATTTTGGAGTAATTCCATTGCTGCATAGACGATTCGTTTTGTATTGTTTTTATACGTTTTTATTTATTTAATAAAAAGGAAAAGATTATTTCTCCGCCTTCGTTTTTGCGTTACGTGCTTTCATATACTTAACAACAATCTTCTGTTCCTCTATCAGGAAAGCACGGACAATCCTAAAAGAAAAAAAAGTTAAGTACATAGATGAGTAATAGTAATTTCAGCAGCTCGTTGGAGCACACAAAGATAATGTCGTACCTTTCTTTCACACATTTGTGACAGAGAACACCGCCGTACACACGTTTGACTGTCTTCTTACGCCTGCACATTCTTGACCTCTCCATTGGCCTGGCTGGTTGGATGCCTCTGAGCTTGTCCTTGCATAGACCACATCTGGGGATCTTCTTCGGTTTCTTAAGGTACTGATACACTAGCTTGCCACCAGGAGTGCGTACACTATAAAAACACAAGTTTATGCATACAAGGAAAATGTAATTTCTTGGTAAAAAATGAGCACAAACCTCGAATAATTCACTGACAGTATTACTATCAATTTAAAGTGCGTAATAAACTTATGTTTAACTGTGATCTACACGTGGATACTTTGTATTACCAAAATAAACCAAAACATAACCTTAAACAATAGAAAGCTTAGCAAATGTGTACGATCTTGACCGAATTTAAACATTGAAAACAGCAAACTCGATACAGGTCTAATGCAATGATAAATCTGTTCTTTATTTAAATCGAAAACAATACTTACACGCGTCTCCTGTTGCTTTTTGTATTGTATGACAAGCGTCGGCGATAGGTTAACCGCTGCACCATTTTGGTTCTGCAATATAAATGCTTTGATACAAGAAAATCTCACGCATATCGTAAGAAATTTTATTATGGAGGAATATAGATCGCGGACAAACTACTTAAACTTTGTCATATTCAACGATTGTTGTAAATAACAGGGATAACAATAAATTGCACGAAAATTGAACAAACCTTTTTCAGAGCCAAACGGAAAAGGAAGAGAATCGGGAGAAAAAACTTTATTCTACGCAAGCGTAGAATGACGGCCACTGAAAATCATAGCCATCTAGTGGTGAACAGATCGAATTATACTGTCTTCATTAAACATAAAAACGCAGACGAGGTAGAGAATAGACTTATCGTCTTATGGGACTTTTCATCTCATGTTCTGAAATACCGATCGTGCAAAAACTCAAAGATTTTGTGCTGCCCTCTACGTTATGAGAACGATGAATTTGGGCATTCCACTCAATCTACTCGAGCTCAACCGTAGATATAGAAATAAAAAAAAAAAGATATATCTATGCTACGAGTTCAACTAGTCAAATTTGCTCCAAAGCACAGACGAGATATAGATACATAGGAACGTAAATTTGAAAGCACTGTAGAAGTTTGACTAGTTGAGCTCGAATAGATTGAATGGAAAGTCTGAATTCACCAATCTCATACGTAGAAGGTAGCACAAAATCTCTGAGTTTTTGCACGATCGGTATTTCAGAACATGTGACACGAAATCCCATAAGATGTTAGGTCTATGTACTCCATTCTAAATATATCTCGTCTGTGGTTACATCCACACAACTTCCTTTCCGATTGGAAGTCTCCTAGTGGCGTTCATAACGTAAGTTTGCTCTAACATTTTTCTTCATTTATTAGATTTAGATTTGATTATAATATACGAAATTGTTAATTAAAGGATATTTACTGTATGGGAATTACTATTTGTATAAATATCAACACCAGTCGTAGGTAGTTACAGTAAATTCGTGCAATATTCAAGTCGGTTCACGCACGTGGCAATGGTTTTAACAATATTTTAATTGTAGCAGTATTCATTTTACAAACAAAGTCTGTGATTTTCTGAGTAGTTAGTTGCATAAATGTTTGAACGGCTTATTTATGCTTGAAATACGGATTGTCTTTTAAATGAAACACGTTTCCATACTTTAAATTGTCGAGTTCGGTTATTTGTCCAGTGTTCTTTTGGAGTAACAATCGATTTGAAAACTACGAATGTTATTCGGTACCACAGACTGTTATTTGATAAAGTAAATAAAAAAAAGACAGAAAACTACATTATTCGTACTTATGCATGGGTTTTTGATGTAGGTTAATCGTAAGTCAACCATAACGTTAAGATGTCAGGAGGTCTGGACGTATTGTCCCTCAAAGAGGATGATGTTACTAAAATGTTAGCTGCATTCACTCACTTGGGTGCAGAAAATGTCAACTTCCAGATGGAACAATATGTTTACAAGAAAAAGAGCGATGGTAAGTTTTAGTGTGCATTAAAATAAATAATTTTATGTCTACAAAATTTATAAAATCCTTTCATCAACTAGGAGTCAGCATTATTAATCTTCGTCACACTTGGGAGAAACTGCTGTTGGCAGCACGTGCCATTGTCGCTATTGAGCATCCTAGTGAAGTATTTGTCATCAGTTGCCGCCAAACTGGCCAAAGAGCTGTTCTCAAATTTGCACAGCATACTGGAGCTACACCAATTGCTGGTCGTTTTACTCCTGGTGCCTTCACTAATCAGATCCAGGTTGTTCTTTTTACAATGCAAATTATTATTACTTATATAAATAATATTTATGTACATATATATAATGATGAACAATCTTTTTTCATAAGATACACTTGTTGACTTATTTTGGCTTAATCTTTTCTGACTTTATTCATATAATGGACACAGTTGTTTTGTAAAGTTGCTATATATTAATAGTGTTCATCATTTGCAGTCTGCTTTCCGTGAACCACGTCTACTGATCGTTACTGATCCATCAATGGCATTCCTTGCAACACGAAGAGTCTTCACTGTGTTGGTCTCATGTGGTGGTTGCTGGCCAGAGAAGTCCTCAGACTAAGGGGCTCTATCGCTCGCGAAAGTAAATGGGACGTCGTCGTTGATTTGTTCTTCTACAGAGATCCGGAAGAGGTTTGTATCTCGGTTTTTTGAGTCTCCATTTAGTGTTATACAGTCTGTACTTGAAGTGATGAGAAAATAGTGACCAGAAGAATATTTGATGACTATTTAATTATGGCTTAATCTTTTCTGAATATAATTCAAATCTATATGGCATACAATTATCTAATGTACGCATAGGACCATAACTTTATTATTTCTTGTAGGCTGAGAAAGAAGAACAGGCAGCCAAGGAAGTTGCTCCAGCCAAAGAGTTTACAGGACCTGTCGAAGTTCCAACCACCACAGAACCCGGTTGGGTCAATGATGTTGAAACTACAGCTCCGGTCACAACTGAAAACTGGGCCGACGATGTTGCCCCGCCGGCGGCAGCCGCTATTCCACCTGCAGGTGCTGCTCCAGCTTTCCAGGCAACCGGAGATTGGGCTGCACAGGTAAGAGGGCATTTTGCAATTGTGTAACAAGTTCCTAGTGGACAAAATTACTTATTTTACTTTTTGTTTACACAGCCTTCCGAAGAGTGGACCACCCCTGCGCAATCTACTACGACCCAGAGCTGGGGAGGTGCCACAACTGAAAAGTGGTAATTTTATCTTCTTTGAGAATTTCATACACTGACACACTTTGTACAGTGAATTGTAATAAAGTGACTGAAAATCCATATCATTCTGTCTTTTATTTGTTCCAACTACCGAATGAAAATTACGACTGTATTCCTCCTAACAGTAAAAAAGTAATTCTTTTTTTTACAAAAATTATGTGACTGAAACAACGTTATGTTACATAAGAATGAAACTTAACAAGTTTTGGTAAGTTCAATATCAATAATTCACTCATTTCTTATAGACTACTTGATTTCTTTGAAAAATAAACTTATCCCACTTTTATAGCTTTACTAGTTAATTTTTCTGCTTATCCAAATACTGCACAATGGCTGTGTTCTTAATACTAAATGTTGCAAAAGAGATCATTCTCGTTACTAGAGAAAGTAAACTGAATATGTTCTATCCTTGTCGCACGTTTGGAGTTCGTATAGCGCCCTCTCTGTCTAATACCTCTTCGGTCATCCTGTTATCCTAATACGTACCAGGGGATCATGAACCCGTTTTCAAAGTAGGTGGCACGTATGATGCTATCTCTGTCCTTGTCGCACACATCGTCGCTCCTTGTCTTACACATTACAGGCATTGGAGAGAAGATAACACTTGATGAAATTGTTAATAACTACCTAATAACAAACCATTCATGTTCCAAATTGTCATATCAAGATTGTTAGAGGTCCAGACTAGACTGTTATACTAGATAGAACCACAAATTGTAACGTATAACTAGGAAAATAATGAATAATACGGGCGACTGTCGAATTGCGTGAGGTTACTGCGATCAACGTAGTAAAGAATTGTTCATAACAAATTAATTCAACCTCAAAACTGTTCGAAAGAGGTATGGGAAATTAGCTAAAGGTTCATTCTACATTCCTCGACTGCAAAAGTATACTAAATGTGCACCTTAGATTACTAAATTAATGAATAATGTGGCCAGTGTCCACTTACATTATGCGATCCTTGAACATCAGTTCAGATAATCATTAATAACTTATTAATTCGATGGCAAAGTTACCGCAAACTGGGGTGTGAATATTGCCTGGGGTCTGTTCTATGTTCCTCAGTTGCAAATAGTTATGAATTGCTATTAAACATTGAGATATTCGTAAATTTCCTAACGTTAGTTGGGTTATGGAATTTGGCGGGAATTTACTATCTCTGTCTCACTCTATAGACCTTCTGTCCTTGTCGACAACTTCTTCGACCTCCTCGGTTATTCTGTATTCCTACTACAAGGAGCCGAAAAATCGCCTATTTCCACTGCCAAAGCATCTGGTCAGAAAATTGTCTATCCTTGTCGCACATTCGGAGTTCGTATAGCGCCCTCTCTGTCTAATACCTCTTCGGTCATCCTGTTATCCTAATACGTACCAGGGGATCATGAACCCGTTTTCAAAGTAGGTGGCACGTTCAATACCATCTCCGTCCTTGTCGCACATATCGTCGCTCCTTGTCTTACACATTACTGGCATTGGAGAGAAGGTAACACTTGCTAAAATTGTTAATAACTACTTAATAACGAATAATTCGTGTTCCAAATTATTATGTCAAGGTTCTCAGACGTCCGCACTAGACTTTTTAACTACATAGAATCAGTAATTGTGACGCAAAAGTAGGAAAATAATGAATAATACGGGCGACTGTCGAATTGTGTGAGGTTATTGCGATCAACGTAGTAAAGAATTGCTCATAACAAATTAATTCGACCTCGAAACTGTTCGAAAGAGGAATCGGAAATTAGTTAGAGGTTCATTCTATATTCTTCGATTGCAAAGGTACACGAAATGTACATCTTCAATTAATAAATCAATGATTAATGTGGTCGGTTTCCACTTATATTATGTTATTCTAGTGCAACACTTCAGAAAATGATTAATAATTACTTAATTTGATTGCAAAGTTGTCGAAACATGATATGTGAATGTTGCTTAGAGTCTGTTCTATGTTCCTTAGTTGAAAATAGTTATGGATTGTTATTGAATATTGAGATATTTATAAATTTTCTAACGCTTGTTTGGGTTTTAAGATTTGGCGGGAATGTACTATCTCTGTCTCGTACTATATATGGACCTCCTTGTCTAAAACCTCCTCGGTTATTCTATACTCCTGATCATAAAGGTAGAAAAAGAGCAGAATTATATGGTAAAGTGAGTGAGTGCAGAAATCGTCTATCCTTGTCGCACATTCGGAGTTCGTATAGCGGCCTCTCTGTCTAATACCTCTTCGGTCATCCTGTTATCCTAATACGTACCAGGGGATCATGAAACCATTTTGAAAGTAGGTGGCACGTAGAAAGTATCGCTATCCTGCTTGCACAATTGATTGTCCTTGTCTTACCAATAGTGATATATAAACCATCGCTATCAGTAATTGTTTATGCACATATTAAATCGGAAGGATGCAACAAACATATTGACAGTCTTGAAATAAGTATTTAATCTCAATTTCTTCTTGTGTTAATAATGTCGATAAAATATATATGTAAGTATGTACATATGAATACATTTGGTCACAATCAGCTGACCACAGCTGACTTATAATTCTTATACTATTCATGCACTCTTTATCAATAATTGGTCCGTGTTTTGTATAAACATTTATATTTTGTATTTTTGAACAAGTACTGTCTTATAATGTGTATTTTTTTAGTGTTCATCTTTTGTTGTGTATATTGTTAGAAAATTGAAGCAGTTATCGTCAATGTGTCTGTTCGACAAATGTCAAATTCGTGATACCGATTCAAATTTAACTAATATTCTCATACTCTTCGTTTACATATGTCATAGTGAAGAATAAATAGTAAAATATTTAAAATGATGACTGATATGGAAGAAACAGAAGTGAAACATGTTCAATCACAAATTGAGAGACATGATTGGTAACCTACTTCTTTTATGATTAAATTATGTTTGTGCATTTTAATACAGAGCATATACTTACCTAGTTTTCTTTTTATTACATAGCGAAGATGATCAAGTACACTATTCAGAAGCCACAAAGAAATTGGCCATAGGGCTTTTAAATATTTATCAGTTACCATCGGAACAAGTTCAGAAAGAACTGAACGAAGTAACGTAAGAGACAACAATAGATAAATATACTTATTGCATTTCTGTTCTTTACTATTGTTGTTTCAGGGGTAAACAAGAAACTTTACTCTGTCAGATGCAAGTTGAAACCAAAAAACTTCAAGAAAGTTTGGAAGATATTGATTTAAATGAAACGGTAAGATTTTACATTAACAGACGCATGTTTATTGATCTAATTAAAGGCTTCCTCGTGAAATTTTAGTATAAATACATAATATACACAAGATGTAGAATATAAAATGTGCAAGAAAATATGTATTGCAGTTTCAAATGATAAAAGTTTATCAAGGAAAACTAACTCTAATGAAAAAAGAGATGGCTTCCATTCATGAGAGAACATTCAAATTAAAAGTAAGTATAATTTATCTGTGGATTTCATGGACATCATACATTCTTTTACTTGTATAGAAACGAGCATTAAGGTTACAACAAATGAAACAGAAGGAGGCTTTGAATAAGGAACAGCAGCGGGAGCAGGAAATCCGTCGTGAACAAGAATTAATTGGTAAACCTGTAGTGAGTTAAGAAAGAGCAACCACTGAGGGAAATGACTTACACCAGGAAAACTGATTAAGTGTACATAAAAGCAATATATTTAAACAAATATTGTTTGCAATACAACTTACATTTAGTTTACATTTTCATATATTACCAAACAATTTCCCATTGTCCATTTGAGCCACATTTCTTAGTATCTTTACATAAAACATTAAATGTTGTTTCAGTGGGGAAACCAATGATCTCTCTATCCTCTTGTATCCTAAAGGTAAAAGTTGATTCGTATGTTCCCAAGAAGTACCTAGAAAAATATACATATTGTACACTGTTTTTATTCGCGATAAAAAAATTAAATACTATTATTATTAATACTTACCTGGCATAGGAACAAATGATTTGATCAATAATTGCTACACCACCATCTTTAAATTTATTTAATACAGAATTTGATGGAATGAACCTTAGAACTGTGTACTCGAACAAGTAGTCTTTAAGATTATTGAACTCTATAAAAATTACGTTAGTCGATAAATTTCTTCAAATTCTAATTTTCTGTAGAATCATAAAGATAATGTACCTTCTTCTGTGGTATCTGTAGCAACAAATAGAAGTTTTAATCCGAAGTGATCCATTGTTTTTTTCACCTGAGAAGCAGCAGATTCTATTGTTGGTACCGTTGAAGAACGACCAACTAAAAAATCACGTCTCCTTAAATGAACAGCTAAGTAAGGTCCACCAAGTGCATCTCTTTTATTCTGTAATTATGAAATTATTTCAATAAATGTATTACTTACTTTACCACAATTATAATTGAATACCTTTTTTTTAGTCCAGTCATTTGATATTTCTGTGTTATCATCTTTGTCTGTTGAATTAAGAAAATGTTTTCTGTATTCATTAGCAATGCTGTATAACTCAGGATTGTATCTCATACTGCACCTAGCTCTCCAATATTCATGTGAGCCATAGGAATCGTGTAATGCAATTTCCATGTGATCAAACATTACAGACCTATAACAATAATTGTACTTGTATCTTGTTGTTGTATTAAGTATTCTGTATAAAATATAAATAATGGTTCAAAAATATAGTATCCTTTTACCTATAAACAGTAGGCATAAGATTTCTCCTTAAGTCTGATATCATCCCATGAAATTTAACACATTTAACATTTCCAAAAGTTACATTGCTGTATCCCCAAAAGTATCTATTATATCTATTAGATTCTGGTTTATTATATGTTAAAGATTCATCAGTACATTCTATTACCTCGTTTTTGTCTTCAAATTTACCTGTTCTGAACATGTCTTCATCATTTTGCAATACGTATATAACGTCAAGCTGTGTTTGCTTCTCTTCTGAAGGGTATTCTAGAAAAGTACATTTTTATTTACACTGTGAGTCATAAATTAATAAATGTGTACCTTGTATAAATTGATGCATTTCAATGACTGGAATGTACTTTTGTAAACTTGGAATATCAAAAAATAAGCTCCAAGGCAACTGAGTTTGAGGTCCTATTTGTTTAGTTCGCCAATGGTACAAATTACCTATTTAAAATTAAATTAAAAACAATGTAATATACATTTTAACGAATAATGTATAGTAATACTTAGAAACAATAATGATAAATATACCCCATGGTGGTAAAACTAATTTCCATTTAAATTCTTTGTCTTGTTTAACTAAGTTTTTGATAAAAACTGCTACACGAATGTAGACATCTCTTCTAAGATTAAAACCCTCTGGAGAATTAACGTCGTAAAGTATATAACTGAAAAATATATCATATTAAAAAGTGTTCATTTTAATCCGGAATAATTTACAAATTAATTTTATACCGGTTTCTTGAGTAATGCGATTGAACATTGCATCTTTTGTCAGCCTCTTCATATTGGTCCTTTTCATCACAGAATGCATTTTCTGTGGCAGTTTGTGGAAAATCAATACAAAATAATATGAGATACAGTATTTTGAAACATAACAGGTTTAACATTTTTGAGGTTATAATTGTTATAATATCTACAACATGTATGTAATATATAAATAACAAGAAATCGAAATAAGTAGTACAAAATAATGTAAAATATAATTTTTAATATTAATGTATAAACTATGTATGTAAAGGCCACATTTTTCAAAGAAATAAATATATCCTTTTAATTAAATTTGAAATCATGATTTTTTTTAGCTACGCGGTTCCTTTTAAACAATGAGATTAAGGACAGTAAAAAAACAACAGCGATAGCAACAACATTGTACAAGTTGATTTTTGTTACACACGAATTACAGACTCATATCTTCCTTACTCAAAAATGGTTGATGGGTAGATTACAATTCGCTAATTCAATCGATAATAATTATAATAATGGTAATAATAATTATTATTTATCGTCTTATACAATATTTATAATTCATAGTTCAGTTAACATAGTTCGTGCCTTGCTTGTATCAAGCAGGGCTGTTATGTTACATTTACTGGGACTCACTTCCCATACTCTTTCATTTATCCTATTAAAGTATACACTTGGCATATAAAAATTACAAGGACAATTTATAATGGTAATGGTAATAGCGGTAGTTGTAGTCATAGTAATGATAGTGGTAGCACTAATGGTATTTGTAGTTATAGTAATAGTCATAGTAGTAGTAGTAGTAGTAGTAGTAGTATTAGCAGCAGTAGTGGTAGCGATAATGATATTATCGTTATAATTATTTATCCAATAACTATGTCCTGTTACCATCTTGTCTTTCATGATTTACTTTTTCTATACGTATACTTGAGTGAAATCTCAGGTCCAATTCTTGGTTGCTTAAGATTCCAGTGTGTCTGGGGGAGTAGAAGTTAGCATTGCTCCCTCGAAAATTTGTGCCTCGTTGTGATTTTCAAATCTGTGCTGTTTTTGTATTTCTTTTTCACATTTCGTTAGCAATGACGTTAACTGGTAGTAGAATTCTTAGTCAGCAAACATTGGTACATACCATAATACTGAATTGTCGTTATAATAAATACAACAAGAAAATTCATTTCTATTAGACTAATCCTCTTTCTTGTTTTGCATCACTAAATGAATTCTCTATTGTTAACATCACAGCTAAAAAGGTGCCTTATTTCAACATGAAACACTATCTTACATTCATTACAGAAAACGTGAAGTAGTACATGACATCAGTAACTTTCAGACAAAGTAAGTTCTGTAAAAACTGCACAGTGCACTCATTTTAATATATTATATACTGTTGCTTGTATAATTTTTACTTATTTTCCCTACATTCACCACATACATTTATCTGCCTTCTTTGGCTCATTGTTCATAATAGTGAGTACAACATAAAATTTATACTGTCATTGACGCAAATATTAAGCTTGTAAAATATAAAATTACTGAGGATGTAGAAGATACATTTACATACTTATTAAAATGTCATGACAAGTAGATAAGTACAAATTTAATTATAAACTTATTTGTAGAAGTAACATAAATGTAACTGATCTTCTGTATTATTCTTACTAAGATAATTAACTGGCATTTTTAAATGCTTTGGTGCACTGTGTATTGTACTATACATGTATATATTACAAATATAGCTTGATACTACTTCACATTTAAAGAATTACAGTTGACAATTATCCGCTTGCTAGCACAATCGCAGTTTCATATGCTGGCACAATTACCTGGCACTCCAGGGAAGGTAGTTGCTTACAAATAAAATTGTGTAATAATAACTTAAACGTTTGTTGCATGGAATCATTGCGTATAATAAATTAGATATTATGTTTTATTCTGAAGCTGATGAAGATGACAAAAATGCCATTTAAAATAAACGTTGTTTGTTCGTTTGTTTTTTTAGAGGGATCCAATAATTTTTTTTAAATTTTTAACTGTAAGCCCACTTGAGTTCAAGATGTGTGAATTATCATTCTCGATTAATGATTGTAACTTTTGTTATAAATTAATTACACATTCGACGGCCATTTCATTTTCCTTCAAACTATACCCAGTTTAAAGTACATTTAATTGCGTTGGGCTTGTAGTGTAACGTTTAAAAATTACAAGAGTGTTAATAAATAAATTCATATATACACAGAGAAAGATATATACACATACACACTCACACACACGCGCACGCGCGCGAATCTTATGTACAATAATTAGCAGTAACACTCACAAACATATATATCGTACAAAAAATTCAGGATTATGTCGAAATCGTTCTTCCGCCAGTTCGGTCGAATTGAGCGTAAGAAACAATATACACAATAAAAAGATTACACTCTCGAGTAAATGCATGCTACAGATTGTTACATCACAATATTATACATTATAACGTGTATGCTTTTACCATGTGATAGCATGTACTTCTCCTGAACAACGAAACCGAATAGTGACAAAAAAAAGAAGAAGAAGAATTGCATTTAATGTAACTTCGTTTCTTACAAATACTTTTCATAATCTTATGATATGTGTAAACTGATAATAGACAAACTTAGATGTTACGTGTTTTTTCCTTAAACACTGTTACATTGCTAGAACCCACAAAAATACATATATTGTTTAACTCAGCTGAATACAGATATTGCCCAGTATTGGTTGCACAAAATATTTAACATTTTAATATCGATTCGAATAGAAATTGTAATACACTTCTGTGTATGCAGACATGATTGAACATCAAAGGAAACATAAGTGAATTGAAGGCAAGACGAATATGTACTAAGGTTTATGCAATTATTCATGTTCTTGGTAAAAACATTACGCATACAATAGTAAATCGTCTGTGAATAGTATTAGTTCTGCTTACTCAAGCTCTATTCGATACCGAGCAGTCGGAGGCTGGACTCAGGCGAAACTCTTTGTTGTATTCTATGTATATGTATATATTTATACTTAAATACATAGAAGGCGGTAAAGCTGCTACATATTGAGTTATGATTTACATATATATGCGGGTTACGAATGTGGCTGCTTTTTCTTTTTTGTTTTTCTTTTTTTGGAAGGTTTGCTTTCGTTTGCTTTCCTTGGAATGTCCACAGACACTATTAACTAGCGTACATTAAAAATAAGTTCAGTCATTTACAGACACCGCAGACACTTCCGAAAGGGAGATACGGCCATTCTGTTTCACAAAGTGCCTCAGCATTGTATATCTATTCATTTGTACAAATTAGTTCTGTACAATTGTCTAGCGTAATATATTAATGAGAGAAACATATAGCACTATTGTAGAAATGTTCTACGTTGAAATGTCCGTCTCTGCAATGCATGCGTACAGATAATTGTTCGATACTGCGAAATAATTAGAATTTTCCGTCGTGTTTCTCCGAATTATTCACTTTTGTCCACTATTTTTTCATGCCCCAGGGTTTTTTTTTTAAAACTCAAATCGAATGTTACACGCGAAATCGAATAACTCGACGGTGCTTAACGTAAGGTCGTTGCATAGGACTTAATCGCGGTTTGAAAATTATGGTCACACGTGGAATCGAGTTATCAAAATATGTGTACAAAGAAAAAAAAAGGGGGTACCACCGTGTTTCAGTATTGAGGTAGCGTAACGTTGCTTTGGCTTAGCGAGTCTTTCTGATCATCTAGAAATATTTCCACTGATCGGTGGTACTCAGAGAAAACTGTTACACGCCGAAGGATGAAACTGTACAGTATTTTTGATCTCTCTCTCTCTCTCTCTCTCTCTCTTTCTTTCGCGCGCGCACTCTCTCTCGCTCTCCCCCTCTCTTTCACTCTACTGCGTGTACATTTCGAGTACCGACGTGCGAATTCTCATACACACATGTATGATTATGTAAAATCACCGTATTGTATTTGCGATGTCTTTGGTAGAAACTATTTGGTACGTTTACGCCCGTTCGGAAGGTCGGTGCAGGGCCATGAAGTTTACAACGAATGAACAGCTTGCAGGGGGTAGTTCACAGGGAAACAAACATCAACAACAATGATTCCTCAAGTATCAACAACATTAACAACATCCCATTATAACTTATCATCATTATTGTGATCGTCTCTATCATGATCAGTTTTTTTTTTCCTTTTTAAAATGTCATTACAGTCGCTGTCGTTAAGGTCTCAGTCTTACGCCACATCTCCTTAACATTTGTAATGGGTAATTCTAATTATCATCGCAATCATTGTCTTCAGCAACATCGTCACTACTCGTTACATAGTTAATTATTTATGGCCATTGTCGACGGTACCATTCTGCCTTTTCATCCCATGGCCATCTCTCTATCCATTGTAGATTCTCTTTGTATTCGTAATAATCTTTCCGCGTAAATTCATTCGTTACCGATCGAATCTAGCAGTAATCAATCACTCCGGAACTTTCAAACAGAATCGTGAATACACATAAATGATATACCAATGATTTCACGGAGAGAAACAAAGAGAACTAGAAATGCTAGAGAGCAGAATGTGGAAAAATTGTTATCTTTTCTACGATTGCGAGCTCAGAACGCGAAACAACGAATAAATACTTACACCTGACTGATCGATACTTCTGTTATCAATTAAAATTGCAAAGTTTCTTAATTTTATAAAATCCACTAACGCTTTGTACACGTACTTATACGATGCGCGGATATTTTGGTATAAAATGTCTGCCCTTACTCCACGGTAAATAACAAGCGATCCTATCAAACATGTCCATGCAAATGGTTTCCTGTTTGATAATCTAATTATGATAGTTGCTTCGGTGAATCTTTTGTTAAATATATTACGTGTTTATATGTGATCTACAAACATTTAAAATTCATCGAAATAACAGAGGAGAACAAGTATTCTGACACTCCTTCCGTGCAAAGAAATGTCTATGACTCTGTGTCTGTGTGTCTGTGTGTGTGTGTGTGCGCGCGTGTGTGGGTATACATACATATATATTGAACATACTATAATAATACATATGTACATATACATATACACACACATGTATATGGCTTATCGAGTCACTATCTTATAGATGCAGAAATATAGAGAACGCAGTCTTTCTCTTGTACATAAATGATTTCCTCGAAAGCAATGGCACTAATATGTAATTTCGGGATTTTTCATTTTGTGCGGTAAATGGTATCAAAATAGATGTTGCTTCGATTATCTGTTACACAGTATAAGTACACAAATGTAGTATAAGAAATATGTAATCACCGTCGTAGAAATGCTTTACAAACTATCGACATATTTTCCATTCTACAAAACCACCGTCCTTTCAAAATCAGAGTAAATTAGACAGAATTATTGTCGCAATTCCTTATTAACTGATCTTACGGCCTTCGAGGAAAAAAAACATATATATACATGTCGCATTGATATCTTGACCGCTCGCTACATTTCAGTATCTATACGAGAGCAAGTAATTCAGAATTAATATTCTTTATTCGAACACGTAACATGCGGTCTATGAAATGTGCGTGATATATAAATCGGTAAAATGTTCTAAACGTTTCTTTTTTTTCGAACAGAGGTATAATCGACCCCTTCCTGCTTTCAACAGTTTGCGTTCGAAATCGCTACTCCATATTACCGCATGTTCGATTCTTAACAGTATGAAGATACCCTTAGAATGATACTTAAAGCTCTTACAACTTTTACAACACACTTGCGTACAGAGAGTAGTAATAGCTGGGGTTTCGGACTAGACGTGATGTGGTTGAAGATGAAGCAGCCTGCTTGATAAGTTGGATCAGGATTTCATACTATTCGCTTCGTCGAGTCGCCTCTCTGTTCCTACAGTTAGTAAATTCGCAAATTCCATTTCTAACAGTTGTCGCGCCTGTAATCAGACAATATCGTCGATTAATATAATATGTATGTGTAGCTTTTTCATTTCTAAATTTGAAACTCACTTGTGTGTTTTGCGTTGGTATTTGCAACGCTAGGGCAAAGCTATTTGCCTCGAAACCATCATCAAGGGCTATAAGAGCTCCATGTACCCCAGATTCCAAAAGGTTGTTCCCATATTCCTGAACACACGACACAAGGTTATATTATACCATGGTTATTTAAGAAACTCTACAAAAAAAAAGAAGTAAGAATATTATACTGAAATTACTTTCAGGCCGATAGATTGAACCCATCTTATAACGCGGTCATTACTCCACACAAGAACATCGACATTGGCACCTTCTGCCATTCGTCTTCTATCTTCTAATTGTTGCCTATCGTAATTTAATCGTTTCAAACAGGAAATCCCGTACTGCAAACTAGTTCTGCGAAAATAGACTCCATTTAATTAAAGAGGTTCATTGCTTCACGTGGAATTCTCGAAAATTAACCGTTACCTGTGAAAACTATCGACCATTCTAAGCTGACCACGAAGGTCCTTTTTAGTGAGGTGATCCAACATTCTAGCGTCAACAAGGCACTCCATGAAAGTGGATCGATACTGCGGCAACCCGAGACTCGGGAGCCAAACATTACCAATCCATTCGTGGTTCATATCTCCGAATGCTAAAGTTGTGCGAGAGGTTTTTGGTGCTGATGGACTTGTCAATGATACCATTTCTTGGATAGCTAATCTTAACTTCAATCGATGGAGAGGATTACTGTAACAAGAATAACCAGATCAGACATAAGACATTACATGTTACTTACTTAAAAGTTAAATATCAATGTCGTACCTTATACCAATTTCACGTTGTATCTCGGTATCGCTAAGGGCACTCATGATGGCACCACTTTTGACATTTGCTCGACACGCGGCGACATACCATGTTGGCATACCCACCCAAAGCTCGAGCCAGGCCACTACGGTTGGCCCATTCCATAGAGCAAACGGTGTTCCTGCTTTCATTGCTTCTGCCAACAGTTCATGACGCGACGAATCTAGCATGCTGCCGAACATGCTGGGACTGAAACGAAACGGAAATTACATCAGTTGTACAGACTCTGTACGGGCACACAGAATGAGGCATGTAATTCATATGTTTACTTTTTCTTTTTCCTACGATCGAAGTCGCTCTTGCTGCCCATTGTTCCAGCCACGGTTACGCTGTCGCCATAATCAGGATCAGCAAATGTGCACATTCCTCCCATTCCTGGTATATCTCCAGGCATTTGCGTGTCTTTTCCCTTAATCTATTAGAACCAAACTCTCCTGTACACTTGTATTCAACCTACAGAATACATATATAAATATCAATCCGTTTCCTAACCTTTTCTTTCTTACTAAAGAATCTGCCCAAGCTGCTTTTGATGCCCTTTTTCTTCTGAGCCGCAGCCACCGCCGCCGCTGTAGCAGGACTCATGGTGGCTTGCATGTGCAAATGCGAGCCAGACAGTTGTCCAATCGGCAATCCGGCACCAGACAAGTTGTTCTTGTGCAAACTGTCCTGGCTGCTGTGTCGTGAGGACAATGGGGAAGGGGGAGTCCCAGAATTGAGTGCGCCGTTGTTATGTTGCCCATGCCTGCTGCATGGAGCGCTAATCTAGTATCTATCTCTACTCTAAGTAACGCATATTCTGGCCCACACAGGAACACTATGTCGCCTTTACGTTCCTTCTATGTACCGTATCAAAGTTCTCTTCAGATTTGGGTTAAAAATACTTCGTACATGTGTACCTTAAATTGCACAAGGCCACACGTAATTACGGAATTTACCGAGCCAAGTGAATTGCATTACTTCAATGATATTAGCGATGGTATGGTCGTATTACACGCTTGCGTTAAGTTTTCAATCTGTAAGCCTAATTTAATTTCAGATGATATATACGAGATAACTACTAAGAATATTTTTAAAAGCATTCAACAATTAACTTTTGGTTTAACTACGTCTAAATTAATGAAATTAATATACGGTGTATAATACACGTATGAAAGTCACCGTTTTGTGACAATCGCTACGAATTTATGCCACTGTGCATCTAAAGAGAAAGCAACATCAATGGCGTTTTTCTAAGACGACGAACTATTTCCAATCGAATAGTGAAATGTAAAAACTTGTAATACCTACTCAGTGTTACAGGCAAGACATAAAAACCTGGAAATATAGCTGAACACTGTTTATGAGATAGGGTTGCCATATTAAGTACTTGTCGAGGCAAAGATACAGAAAGATTACCCTCTAATATTCCGTTGAAACAGTTACCAGTATTACCGTTTTGTCTCAATGAAAAAAATGATTGTCCCGCCCCTAAACATTGCACAAGGTGACCACATCTGTCTATATCTTTGCAAGCTATTTTGTGAAGAAGAAGAAACAACCTTATTCGCGTAGAAGATCGAGACGCGGTGTTTATTCGATGCAATTCGCTTGGCTGTCTAAATTCCCTCATTTGTCTGAGACAGCGATGTTTGTCGTGAACTGGGCAGGCTTGAATGCACGATGCGTGGAAGAAGCTACTATCAGTTTCTTCCGGGGATTCATTTCTATCAGATCTATCGGATGGTTCGTCCGTGCCGCTGTGCTCGAAAATTGGGTCTGTAGGCATGTATGTAATATCTTGCATACTATTCCATCGATTGTGCTTTCTTTATGAATAACAGATCAAAAGTTCACAAGAGAAACAAAAACAGAAGAAATCGTCTACGACCGTCTCGGTAAATCCGTTCATCCGAGCAAAATGTACAAAAAAAAAAGGATTCTGTTACCATCGATATCACTTATGTCGACCTCAAGGTTGTTCATTGCATGCCCACACGGACCACTCAAATATCTCGCGCACAACGGCATGTGTTGCGGATTACATGCAGTACTACAATCTTTAATTAACCTGTGAGCAGGAAAGCCACTGCTGGGAAATCCGGTGTGTCCAGTGCGCCTGGCAGCATAAACAATGCACAATACTATTTACAACAACATCATTGTTTCACCTTTGGCAATCTCATCTCTATATATGCAAGGGCTTTGATAAATAAAATATTTCTCGGCATAACGAAATTAACAGACGAATTTTTCCCGAACGTCCTCGTTGTTAGAGATGCGGTTGCTAAAGTACTGTCTACAATTGTACCATTACTTTTCCACGTAGTGATTTCGCTTCTGTTGATATTAATCGAGAGAAAATCAAACACGTACCTTCGAAGCTCCTCTTGACTATGAGCAAGTGCCTGTACCACGCGTTCCAGTCTAATTGATCGAGCAGTTAACGGCGATGCCGCGTCACTGCCACCACTTCCACCGCCACCGGTACTGTCTCTTTCGCTCACCGAGTGTAATTCTTCACCTGATAACTGTAACTGCAAAATTAGATGTATATCGCCTTCTGACTTTCCGCGTGATTAACGCTGAATAATTCGAACCCCGATAAACGACTCACCTGGCTGGTAGGTAGTGATTCTGAAAGTTGACCTGGACTAGTTAAAGAGGCAGCATATTGGTGGAGGTGCGCTGGAGACATTGATGCTGGTGCCTTTAAGCGAGTAAAAAAATTCGGTTTAGAATAATGGACGAATTAAAAATAGATTAAAATACATTATTGAACACTTACGGTGTGATATTTGTGTAAGAAATCCCTGTTAGGACTGTGATGCGATTTCGGTGTAGATCGTCCGCTTAGCGGTGGCGATGCCCGTTCAAGACTTCGTCCTCTTGCTAACAAATTCATGTGTTCAAGACTACCGACACGAGACTCCAATTCTTCGGCACGTGCTTCGGTACTTTGTTTCTCCTCCTACACCATTAAAATTAAACTGCAACACGTATTCGTAACAGAATGCGCGTAAGAATTAAAAAAAAACATTCGGTTACCTGAATCAGTCTAATTTCATTATTAATTGCATCTAATTGTTCCTGTAACATTAGCGCTAACGTTTGAGCATCCGTATGTCCTGTCGGACTGATTACATCAGCCGCACAACTGAAGAGGCTCTCGTTGTCATCACCTTCTGCATCACTGGAGACATCGAACGCCTGCTGTACATTGGCAAGGACATGAGCCTGTTGCAGTTTTTCCCATTCCTGTTCTGCTAGAGTGCGGGCTACATAATTCTAAAAACGATTACATAATGTAGTATTCATATTTTTTTTTTATCGTAGACCCGGATGTCTGTTTATTAAATTATATACTTTTGATGTCTCTTCTTCAATTGTAGATCGTTTCGCTGTTCTCCTTGGCAGAGAATGCGTATCGAAGCTACTGTGACTCGCACTTCTGGAGAAGGATCCAGGATCGACTGCATTGGGGGATAAACTTCTGGTCAAAGCGTCCGTTTGTTGGATATTAAACGCAATTTCTTGTTGGAGCATCTGCCTCTTCACGCTGTCGATTTCAAGCCGAGCCTTTCCTAACTCTTTCACTATTTCGGTTTTTTCATTCTGCAGATCTTCGGCAATTTTCCTTGTCTTCTCAAGTTCCTGAGTTAATGCATTCTTCTCTTCCAATGCGTGCATTCTTTCCTTTAGATGTACTTGTAGCCTTTCGTTAGACTCTGAATGAATAGGACGAGACATGAATACGGAGGATTTCGTAAACGGAAATTGAAAAAGAAACAAACGCGCGAATTACCAGATAAAAGTTTATCAACTGTTGTACTAAGCCGCGTGTTATGTTCCTCATTCATTTTAAGTCGTTGATTTACACGCATCACTTCTGCATTTTTCTCTTCTAATTGCGCTTCTAATCTTTGTATCCTGTCCTCCGCGCTGCCGTGTCTCTCTTGAGCCTGCTTATTAAATATTTTACATAATTAATATTACTTAACTGGATGAAATGGAACGTATGATTATTTAATTATCCTCCCTTTGAAATACAAGTATATAAGGTTAACAACTATTGTAGGATTAGAATTAAGACAAGACGTGTCTAGTTAACGAAGAATGAACACGTGCCTTATACACACCGTTCTAGAGAAACGTGACAAGGAAACTGAAACTATATAAAATACTAACAAGCTGAAAAAATAATCACATTGACTGCATTGTTTAGTATATTCGGTGTTAGACTGTAACTGGATGGATTATTCTTGTCGAAAGGATCAGACAATATCTAACATTACCTTCTCAATGAACCCTTAGTCGTTTACAAGATATTAAAGCTGTAAGAAAGGTTTGAGTGGTGTTTGTTGTTTGCATAGCATAGAATCGAGTACTGCGTGAACAGTGATATGAAATATGTAACAGGAACAAGACATCGCCGAAAGTTCAATATTAAAATGAAAGAAGACAGAAAATTATTTCCATGAGAAAGTATCAGAGGGACAAGCAATTTAAACACCGATGTTGTTTGGGGGAGAGTCGACAGAAGTGCAGAGGAATAAAAAATGACAAATTGATGATGCAATGACTTGATTCCCCTGCGTACCTGGTTGGGCCTCCTCACCTGCGTCAGAGCCTCCATCCTCTGCTTCAATTGCTCTTCCATTTCTGGCAGTTTGGCATACTGAGCCAATTTCTGTTCTGCCAGTTCCAGTTTTTCCTGTATAGCTGCTATTTTCTCCTCTTGGAGCTAAAAATAAATTGAAATCAGTCGCAAGAACCGACCGCCACAAACTTTACAAATTCCATTTTGACCACGAAATACCTTTAATTGGGCCTTCTTGTGTTGCAGCTCCTGTTCCAACTTTTCGTTTAGATCATGCAAACTAGTAGATTCTCGTTGAGCATTGAGGTACCGTTTCTCAAGAATTGCTATTCTTTCTTCTTGATCCTCTTTTTGGGCAACATTTTCACGCAAATCTCTGTCTAATTTTACATTTGTCTCTTGAGTCTTCAGGAGATCCTTTTGTGCCTTTGATAGATTCTCTTCTAACTCGGCTACCCGTCCCATTAATTCTGCCACTCGCCGTTGCCATGTGCTCAACTCTGAGCTCTAAAATAAGGTTATCATTTCGTTACCATTGAATGTCAATTTGCGTTTGTGATTATCGTTGTATATGCTCGTGAAAGTGGTATCAAGAATCGTGTAATTCGTATCTAGGATAGTACAGCAACTATGCAGTCTGCAACGAGACAGAAACTTCTCACATTTGTTTTTCAGTTGAGTCGGGTACTATATGAGGAAACTGTCTAAATACTTCTGGATATATTGTATACTGTGGTAAATTGTATATGTGTTCGCATTGTAGAGAATGTATCGTGTTGGTATATGTATATATATACATATTACATATATATCGGTTACATTAGATAGTCAAGCTATCCATACAAAAATATTTGCTCGGAATAGATACATTCTGAATTCACTAAACCATGCGTACATGAAACGTCGAACATCGTCGTTGTAGTCATTCTAAAACATGCCATGAGCACCATTGAAAACGGTGTATTAATTAATATTAATAAGGAACATACAACCCACGTTGTGCGACATAATCTCATGAACTTTAATAACGTTTTAGTTAATTATTTGTAGAAAATAACTTGAAAGATTGCTTTAAAAGTGTGTTAGAACAATTCAGTATCAGAGTTACCGATTACGATAATGAAACTATCTTTCAAATACGATACAAATCTATCTTCGATCATGCATCACAATTAAAAAAAACATACAAAAAGGTTTCTATCTGTTCAATGTCAAAACCTTTTGCCAAACTCGGTGTCGCTTAATCATGCAAAAGGGGAGGAAGAAAAATTCGTCGTTCATTTCAAGTATAGGTAGTATTCTCTCGCTCGATATAACCCCCATGAACATTGCTCGGCGTTCCTTTGAAATGGGGCTTACCTAATTAGGTAAGACACAACAAGAGAATACTGCCACAGACCTGATATAAGACATAACATCCGACCTATTTAGATTACAAAAATATTGATAGGCAAGAATTTAAATTATACAGCTTTAGGAATTACTGTTATTAACTATACAAAATTGTACACCCATGAGCAAACTTTGCTTCCACTAGGTAAAAAAGTGACGTAAGGAAAGGTCCTCCTACCACTTGGTATTGGGACTTATTGAAATTTATGCCAATTAACATTCGATTTAACATTTATTTCAGTACTTGAAATAAATTTATTAAGTGGCAGGAGGTCATTTCCCTACGCCACTTTTTCCTCTACCGAAAGCCGAGTTTGCTCATGAGGGTACAACAGAACTATAGGACTTTTTACGAACAAAACAGTGAAAGCATCAGATACACTCTCGTAAGGTGTTAGTTTTATCCTATATCTCGTCTGATGATAATATCGTATAAAACAGGTGATCATACGAGTGATCATATACGTACTCTAAAACGGTTCTGGTCGGCGTGACGCGGTTTCATACCTGTTTGTCGAGAGTGGCCTGCAAATCTATTACTCGTGTCGCCGAATCCTGGTCCGCCGGGTCCAGGCTGCCATTGCTCAGTCTACTGCCGATCTCTGTTGATCTCTCGGTACCTAGTTTTTGTATCGACTGCGGCTGAGGTTGCTGTTGTTGCTGCTGCTGCACCGTTTGTTGTTGTTGTTGCTGCTGTTCTTGCTGGCCTGCTGCGTGCTCAGTCTCATTCTGCCCGATCACAACACTACATTCAGAATGCCTCGTTCGCGCTCCCTCTGTCCTGCATCTTCGCGCGATTCCCGACTACTATATGAACTAGGACACAGCTACGCGACTAAGCCACTACCGTGCAACTATCGCAGACGCACTCACTTATGGATGCAACGATCGAAATGAATTACAAACACACGTGGCTGCTGAACGGTCAGTATATCGGTACAGATTCACACTCTGCGATGATGTTACTGTCGATGGAAAAGTATTCGTACAACATGTAACATGGAAGTAAACAGACTGTGTTTTTTTTATATAGTAAAAATACTTGCTTTACATGCTTCAACTTTTTACAAAAAAAAAAAGGTGTGAACAATTAATAGTACATAGTTCTTTTTACTTCCATATATTTACTATGCGAGCACGAATATCTCTGACTCTCACTGCGTATGATTTTGACTGCATTGTAATTACAGTTGTAGTAAAACTTTGATCCTCTATGCGACGAGATTTTGTATAGATAATTAATATATATATATACACGTATGTATCAATATTACAGATATTTCTTCGGACATGGTAAGTTATGTAATATCGCATGAAAGGACCAAAGACGACCACGTACTACAATGAATCCTACGATGCTACACAGATACAGTTTCAATCATGACATATGAATCTTTAATGGTCAAATGGGGTTCTAGGATCTCGAGAGAGCTGAAATCTGTGACCAATAACTTGGGAATCGATCAATAACCAACGGCAAGATTAGAGAAGCGTTTGTCGCAGAGAGAAAGAGATAGAAGGAGAGAGCGATAGGGTTCGATGACGCAGGGGAGGAAGTTTATCTTTGGCGGAGATATGCTGAATTATATCAAAAAACCATGGGCATGCATAGTGACAGAATAAGAGAAAAGAAAAAGAAAAAAAGAGGTCGCATGGATGCAACTTTCACGACGGTCAAACATGTGGAACACCTTTCATGTATCCATGATGATTGTGAAGTATGAGAGGGAGGAGGGGGGCCAGTGTGTGTGTGAAATATCTGTGAGTGCATATATGAATGGGTGGTGTGCGGTCGTATATCGTATCTCCACGTGTCTCGGCTACCTTGTTCTGTTGCTGGCCGTCCTCCGTTTGCCCGTTCTCCTTCGGCCTATCCTCGGCGGACTTAGGCGCGTGCCCGCTCAATTTGTATTGCTGGAGCTGCGGTTGAATTCAATTTAAACCATCAATATCGTACACACGCGTTCATTCGATTACCATGACATAGTTTAAACTTCTCTGGACTCGTTTAAGGGTAATAATACTTAGGGAAAGCGGTACCTCTTCTTTAGTGCTGGCCAGTTCCTCTTCTAGGCTCTTGTTCCTCTCCTGTGCTACACGCAGACGGTCCCGTACCTGAAAATTCATCGGTGTGGTTAATCAAAGGAAAAACGTAACGAGGCTATAGCGTTACTAATCCCGACAATGCACAGATTATTCAATTTTTAACCTTGAATCGGGAAATTAATAATTCCTGTAAATGAATTTTACCCCATTCCATTTTTCAGTTGCTAGGAGACCAGAGTGCTATTCCCACGTACCTAATCGGTTCAAGGTTAAGTCAGAATCGTTTTGTATCCTACTTCAAGGTTGGACCCAAAAGGTAGTCAATGTCGCCAAACAATAGGAACAGTTCTTACTTTCTCGTCCAAAGCCTTGTGGTGCTCGAACAGACTTTTCAGAGCTTTAAGCACTTCAGCCTCGGACGATACTCCAGATTGCGCGGCCGCTTGCCTCTTCACCACCGTCATCCTGAGCGCTCGTTCGTGTCGCGAGACCAGGCATTCTAGATGTTCCAGCAGAAGCTGCGGGAAAGCAAAAAAGACAATCGGTCAGAATTAGGGGTATCATGGGGCATATCACCGTTTTCTTCGATACAAGTTATGAGTCAAAGTATCGATACCCTGACGGTAACGGTTTATCCCTAGTTTTACGTACGCGAGTATTATTCCGTTCAGCTTTCAGCTCCGATATTTCCTCCTCCCTTTCCAGAAAGTCTTCACGAGCCGCTTCGAGTTCCTTCGTCAGCTGGGAGAACTCCTAAAAATGAAAAAATATACAGGTTCTTGTTAACTCCATGGTTTTCAAAAAGAAAACACAAAAATGAAACAGAATGAATAAATCGAAATTTTTCTCAAGTCTCCCGTTCGCGATGAATCCTACGAAATTTCAAAAGACGAAACGATGCTTCCCTTGCAAAATGAATATACACTCGACCTTTAAATCACTCAGACTCGAACCGTTTTAGGGAAGCAATCCCGTCGAGGAGTTATCTCATTTAAAGTTTACGGCGAACCGCAGCCGGAAAACCGCACTTTCACCTTTTTCATTCAAGCACGCGTTTTACACAAGCCCTTCGGGCGAGCCGCGTTACTTCCGCTCGACATTCCACTTGAATGTTGTATATATTTATTTATAAATCCTGCTGATCAATAGCGGCTTCTACGTTGGAACAACACCGTCCGATAAGTTTTACAATTTTTAGAGAAACAAACTGATTTCACGGAATTCAAATAAATTTTCCCGTCCGTTTGTCCGCGGCTTCTACTAACAGAAACAAATTTTAGCCTCTTTCACCCCCTGGAAGGAGCGAATGGTACGTGACGAAATATGGGTGCATATGTTTCGTTGTCATATGTCAGTAAAAAAATAACAATGTGCTTTGCAATAAACAAGATACCATCATAAGTGTATTCTAAATTCCGTTCTTGATCAAAATTCAAATAATTGGTACTTCGAAGTGTTCATAATAATTTGATTACCCACTGTACAGTTAATCATCGTTGAGTGCTCGAAGGCTCCTCAGCACTGAGTGTTCAGACGCCATCCCCACCACTGGGAACTCGACTGGTTCCACGGGGGAGTCCACCAGTACCGAGGAACCTTCGAGCACTCATCTATGATTTACTGTATTTATTCAATATTTATAAAGTTCGATTTCCAAGGGATCTGAAATGGAAAGCTGGAAACACAGCTTAAATAATTGAACGATTAACGTCCATTAGTATAGGGAAATGCTATCGTTTACAAATCGAAACGACGCGGATTGAATAAAGGGGACGCCTTTAAGCTCCCTGATATCGTTTTCCAACGGAGAAGGAATATCGATGCCCCAGCAAAGAACTCATTATCCTAGAAGGGGTTGATTAATTACAGACGGCTGGTGCAATCCTATTAGCCCATCGACAGCCGCGCTGCAAACGAAATTCCCGTGGAAACAGTCGCGCAGGGAGGCCTGGGTACACGAAGAAGGAGGATCCCGATTTAAATGATACAAGTTACAAGTTTAGCACAGTGATAGAGTTTGGAATTCTGAGGACAATTATGTTTGTTTCATTCGAGTATGACCATTAGTTTATGAAATATTTAATGTTCAATCCCGAGGAGGCTTCGAGCACTCATCGAGGATTTATTGTATAGTGATCACAAACCAATTATACCGTACATCAGGTTACTTTTCGACGAGAGATCGATTCAAGAAAACTGTCCAACACGTGGGAATCTTTTATTAATTAATTCAAATTAATTTTTTAACAAGTTCAGAGTTAGCGGTAGATTCATTAATCAACGATTGGTTATTGTACGGCGAATGTAAGTTAGTCACAGCTATTCACAACGTTTCATCGCCGCTATTAGTAAGGAGAAACTAAATAAAGACGAGGCAACAAGAGACGCGTTTAAGGAGTTATTTAGGAGTCTATTGTTCGATTCGATGACGAACTAACGACGTCTCCGGTTCACCTTGTCTAATTGGTAAGGTCGACTCGTCTCTTAACTTTCCATGACGTTGATCCTTGTCGTATTTATTCGACGAATAAATCCGTTTCCCTATCGAGACCGTCTCGATAAAGTCTTCTGTACAGCAAGTTATTTTCTGCGGGATCAGTATATACACCGTTATAAATACAACTGAGATTGCAGTATCGACGGAAAAATGGGGGAAACTTTAATTCTATCCCTATTGGGATGTCGTAAAAAAAATAATAGAATTTTCGTGTAGCGAGATCGAAAGTACTTACATATTCCAGATAACGATGTCGCGACACGTGTGGTGTCTGCTCCCGGAAACGAAAAAATTCCGTTTAATGCACGAGACCTCTTTCGACGGCTACTTGTTGCGCAAAGAAAAGTACCCACCGAATAAATAACGGATCGCGATCATTTCTAGGGCGCACGTCGCATAGTGGTCCAGAATCAAAATTTATCAGTTCGCACGATTATTTATCTCGAGCAATCGAAAATTTTGAAACTTATAAATTGATTTGAACGGAAACCACAGTGATTTTAAGACTATTTGAAGCATTCTTTGAAATATTTTCTTCATAAACAATCTGTTTGATCACGATAAACAACGAAACACTGTAAAGTCTCGATAATTGCGCAGAATTAAAAAAAGATCGAAGATCATTTAAAATCTATAATGTATTGAGTACTCGATCGACAAGCTTTTCTCGGAGAAAAGAACAGAACAGTCGAAGATTTTTTCCTTCGTCGAGAGTGATATCGGTTCCGTCGTCGCATCGAGAACAAGCGATAATTTCCTCGCGATATCGATCGGCGGTGCCCCGTGATCCATGTTACATGTACGTAAGACGGGGATTTAAACTCGCGTGCGGTCATGCAGTTTGCGCCCGCGGTGCAACGGACCGTGAGAGTTATGCAGCTGCAGTTCGTTAGAAGTGCATGACCCCTGGCCGGCGTCGTCGATTGAGATATTGAAATTCGCGTTCAACGGGCGAGGGAAAAAGGATGAACGCCTCCGTTTCCTGAAAGCAAATTGCTAGCACAATCTAAAAAGATCTCTAGGAAGGGAAGGATTCCAAGACTTCGATTTTAACGGGGTTTTGTAAGGCGTGTAAAAATGAACATAAGACATAACTATTTGGAACAATTTATTTGGGAACTTTATTTTCTATATTATTTGAGATAAGAGCAATTTCAAATAATGAATTATTTTGTTATCTGGATTTCATATTTGGAAAAAGAAATAATTCTCAGAGTAATGTGCAACATAAAGATGTTATTTTAACAAATCTTTACAGCAATTTGCTTTAAGGCTGCTTGTGAAAAAGTTCATTCCTGAGAGAACTTTACTTTGGCTCTGGTAATATTGTCGCGACAGAAAATAATCGTTCCACTAGTCAACTGATATAATTTCAAACAATTTCACAATTATTTCTAGAATTATTTCAAACGATTAGAAAATAAAGTAACATATGACAATTGGGGTTTTTCCTTTCTAGGAGGCTTCTTTATAATTTCTTGCAATTCTTGTCACTCATGATTCACCGACGCACGAGTTAAAAACTCTTACCGATTCTATCCAGTCGGCGGTGTTCTCTAAAGCGTTGCACTCGTGAAACCCGTCAAAGACTCGTCCATGTGTTGGTCGCTAATTAACCGGTTATCTAGTTGAAAGTTCTATTTTCGACCAGTCCTCGCTTATCGTTCGGCTTTCGTTCATTCATTTATCTCTACCGTGTTCCAGTTTTCAACGTTCACCCAGACCAGTTTTCACGCGACACGAGGGACCACGTCTCGAGGCGAGAGACTCTTCCTCGAGTGGTTGCAACTTCGCGTATACTCGACGACGCGTCCGTCGACCAGAAATCTGGGTTAAGAGGGTTGGAAGTTGCTCGGTTCACGCTGATATAATGGCGATACATTTGAATTGTATCGATACGTATTGATACCTACTAGTATCGACACATGTGTGTATCACAGGAGAAAATATCGATATTCAGACTCCTCTCGATTATCGTCCTGAACTGGAGTTCGCGTCGGGACAATAATCATGTAGGTAGAAATGCTTCAGACCTTCGTAAATTCATTTTTTTCATAATCGTGTAGAACAAGCCAGACGACAATCGAGAGGAGTCTGTTATCGGTATCAATGCTTGCAATTAAATTAGAAGTAATATAAATCCAAGAATGATAATAAAATCATTCGTTCAAGCAGATATTTACTGAGGCAGATATTCTCAGGTGTAACAATGTAGAAAAGAAATCTACCGATCGCAAACTATATGGGAATCGCTCGCGATTTGTTCGTGTTCCTTACGACCTGTTAAGGTGCGTATGCATTTCTTGCGTATCTTTGTATCGTATCACCGTTGCAAATCATCGTCTCTTATCACCATCCGATACATACGCAACGCTTGCCAGTCCACATTAATGCATAACAGTGATACAATAATACGAAACAAGTGGTTACGCACCTTTACGTTACGGCAAATGCAACGACTGTATCGAAATTTCGGTACTTATGGATTAAGTATCGATACTAGAATATATATCGTCAGATTAAATATCGATACAAAGCGTTCGGACACTCATCGATGATTTGCTGTACTTTTCAACGAACCATTTCCAGTTGTACAAAGACAGGCTCCTAATTTCCACCGAGAGATTTCCCTCTGGATGACAGTCGAAACTTAAAGGAATTCCATCGTGAAGAAACGAAAGGGAGGATCGAACAACCCGTGGAAAAACGTCGACTAGCACTGGATCGCGAGAAACGGGAGCGGGCCGAGTGCGCCAGATGCAGACGAAAGCCAAACTCGATTAACTGCAAGGTAATGGGGCTCTATAAATAGTACCGACGAATGTGTGTGCACACACGACAATCACGATGTCGGGAATACACTCGATGGGAACACGCACACGAGGTGAAATTACGATCCCCTGACCTACCGATGGATTTCCAAGATGTCGCTTCTGTTCGTGGATCAAAAATCATGGGAAATGTAGGTCATAGGGGCCACGGAGACGCTAGCCGAAAATTCTGCAAACATTCTAGTCGAAAACCCCATTGACCATGGGCGTAGCCAGGGGTAGGCAGGAAAAAAGTAGCTTTTTCCCGCATTATGCCTTATATGTTGTATCTTGTTATTTCGAAGTCGAAAATATCGATATTAAACAGACTTATTTTTTTTCTTTATTTTTGGAGGGAATAATGGAATTCCTCAACTAGAACTACTGATCCTTGCTGAGAAAAGTTAAATACTAATTTGGTTCGGAGGTTAATTGGCGGAGTCGAA